TCCTCATTAAAAATGAATTGGATTAGCATTGCATTAAACACACACACACACACACACACTTATTGTTCCTGCGAGCGACGAGCATTTGACTCTTGGTGTTGACGAACCTGCAGCCGGATCACACTCCCCGGGATCGGCCCACCGAGGGAGGGAGGGAGGGAGGAAGGGGGGAGGAATCGATGAGGGAGGAGGAAGCAGGAGAGGAGACGTTGTGTGTCGTGAGTTCCGGCGCAACAGAAAAACAAAACGCAAACTAACGCACAAGCGGCGCGCGCCAAGCCCCTGCAGCTGGCTAGCTTAGCTTAGCACAATGGCTGGAAACGCATGGAAACAGCTAGCCTAGTTACATCATCCACCGACCGGCACCCCCCCAGATCTCACTAAGTTGCGTTTCTTCTTCTTCTCTGTCTGCAGCGGTGGAGGACAGGAAGCTGTTTATCGGCATGGTGTCGAAGAAGTGCAACGAGAACGACATCCGGGTCATGTTCTCTGCGTTCGGGCAGATCGAGGAGTGCCGGATCCTGCGGGGGCCGGACGGACTGAGCAGAGGTGTGTGTCACTCCGACTCACGTCCATCCACACGTAATGCTGCTCCATGTGATTTTATTTATTACCGCCGGAGGCCTCCGGCGCCCGCTCCCGTTCGTGGCGTCCGCCCGCACCCAAAACGAACGCACGAGACGACAAAAAACACACAACTCCAGGAGTTCATGCCAGTTATTTAAGCATCTTAAAAAAAAGAAAAAAATGCAATCGCTCCACCTTTAATCCGCCTTTTTGCTTAGAAGCACTTTGCTGCTGTCTAATCGCAAGGGGTTGAAGATGAAGCTCCTCCCGAGCCGTCAGTGTTTGTTTGTTTGTTTGTTTGTTTGGTGATTAGTGTCGAGCTGCAGATGGAAACAAAACAACAAAAAATGCAGGAGAAATCATTTAAATCAGTGAGAAAGAGCAGAGCAGCTAAAGGTGGAGCAGATAATAATAATAATAATAATAATAATAATCAATGGATCCATGTCCTGCTTTCAACCAGCTGCTTCTGGAACATTCTGTTGAGTCCCGCTGGTCGTCGTCGACGGGGAACAAACTCGACTGAAGCGATAAGATTCGATGTTGAAAACGCGGCGTTCCTCCGCCGGCGTTTCTGGCGAGGGGGGGAAACCACACCTCGTGCATTCTGTCGCTTCCGTCGACGGCGTTCACCGCCGACGGCGAGAAGGTGTCTCGTTTTCCCCCTTTTTTCGAGACGAAAGGACCAAGTGAGCCGGAGCGACGTCTGGAGGCCGCGGTGTGCCACTGTGAACGCATGCATCTCCTTTTCGCCCTATATACCTCTCTCTCTCTCTCTCCCTCCCCCCCTCTCTCTCTCTTTTCTCCCCCTCCTGCTCTCAGCGAACCCCCACCCCCCCCCCAAACCTTCACCACCTCCTCCCGACCTCCATTCATTCACCTGCCCGCAGCTCTTTCGTGCTGCTTGTTCATTCACACAGTGAATTCAAATTTTTAATTCTGAGTGAAAGTGTTATTTTCTCTCCTCATTTTTGTTTTTTGGAAAGAGTCGTTCGGCGTCCTTCTTCGGGTCAGGGAGGAAGCCGCTGCCGTGAAGCAGTAAACGAATCATCTTCTGTTGATGAGGCTGTTTTACAAGCTGTCAAAGCCGGCGGATTGTTCCCCGACTCACCGAGGGACGCGGCTGAAAATAACCGCCGCGAATAAAAAGAAAAATCAGCAGCTGACAGCAGTCGATGTCTGAGGGGGTCGCGAGGTCGTCATGTGACCGCCTCTCATCCATCAGTCCATCCCCCTCCCACTCTCCCCTTCCTGTCACTCGAGCTGTCGCTGTCACGTCACGGGGTTTCCGTGTGAATCTGTCGGTCACGTGTATCTTTTTTTTTTCCTGTGGTTGTCGGACGTTTTGGATGTTTTGACGTTACTTTCTAAATGTGTCCTCTCTCTTTTTTCTCCTCAAGGTTGTCTAATCAGAACTAAACCACTCAAACCCCCATGGTCACTTAGCCCCCCCCCCTTCTATTCCCCCTCGCTGTCCTAGAATCCTCTCTTGCAGCAATTTGTCCTCTTTCCATTCGGCCTCCCGTCGCCGTTTCCTTCCTCCTTCCCTCCCTCGGCTCCTCTCTCCTTCCTCATGAATACCTCGGAGGCGTTTTTCTCCAAAAGCGATCCGAGCCGTCCGTCCGTCGCGGTTCTGGGCAGTAAACAGAGTTGAAAACGAGGTCCAATGAGCGCGCTCATCCCAGAGGGGCCCCCCCGGTCCCACCGAGCCCCCGTCACGCCGCCGCATCACTATTAATAAAATATGGATCACGCCACCGGTGGACGGCCGGGCCTGGGGAGCTGCCCTACTTCCATTAAAGGGCCGCTCGGCTCGCCGCTGACGGCGGGACGCGGCCCGCGAGGTATTTTTAGCGCTCGAGCCGCGAAAAACAAGACGCGCACGAGTCAACTCGACTTCAGCGAATCGACGTCTCTGGCGCGGAGGAATTCTTTATTTAGAAGCTTCGGCCCGCGGGAGCCGGCTAAAGATAGAAATGGGTTTTCAATCTTCAAACCGTAAACGGATGGAACCATTCAGGGCCAGTTTGGCCCCCCGGCCCGGGTCAGCCCCCTGCAACATAAGTGGTTAAATGACAGATTGTGGCCGCTCTAACACAGCCACTGAATCCGTCGAGGAGTTGACCCCCTTTTTGGCAAACGCCGCGGGGTTCGCTGGGTCGGCGCCGCGGCGTCCGACAACCTCCCGCCCCGCTTTTTTTTGGTTGCATTCTCGCCTCCCCTCCCGAGTTGAGCCGAGAGGTGAGGAAACGAAGCACTTCCAGCTGGCAACGGCCACCACGCAGTGGTAGCGACCTGTCAATCACAAGGTTGCCCCGCCCTTATGCTCTGTTACTCCGTTTAGTTGAATGGACACGGCGAGGATGTCGGACAGACTGATCTACGAGACTGACTGCTGATTATTCCTGCGGCCTCCTCGTTCTCGGCGTGGAATCCGACGTAACCGACCATCCGTCACTCTCCGCCCCGTTCCATCAGAGCGCCAGGCGGCGTCTGATGGAGGCGGAGGAGGGCAACGATCGCATCTATTTCCTGCACATCTGTCCTCTCGCTCTGTGACCCATTATCACCCCCCGCCCCCCTTTACTCCCTTCTCCTCCCGTCCACTCACCCAGGGGGACGTGACCCAGGACGCTCCTCTTTACTACTAAACCACGAGTCAGCTAGCCGCACCTGAACGTGTGTGTGTCCGTGTGTGTGTCTGTGTGTAATCCTGTTCAGGCCTGGCTGCACTAACATGGCTTGGTGAGTTTGTTAGCGTTTTATTAGTCTGGGGGGGGTTTCGAAGCACTTCTCACATTATCTCCTCTAATCGCTCCCTAACCAGCCAGACTAACACAACCAACTAACCCCGCCCCCCAAAAAATCAGCCAGCCAATAACAACCTCCTCCCCTGGAAAGAATACAAAGGAACCCTCCCAGCTGAGTCTTGATTGGCTTAAAGCAGCCTCAGAGGAGGTCGACCCCGCCTCCTCCCTCCTCCTCGTCTTTCCGTGGATTAAACCCATGTGATTCTCTACACGTGATCCTCTGCGGATTTTTTCTTCCACCTCACCGTCACGTGTCTTTCCTCTTTGATAAAAGAGCGGGAAAGAGGGCGACCAATCGCACGCGCTCCAGCAGGCCCCAAATGACAGTGGACGTACGCGACACAGTCACATGGCTGTGAATGCAGGTGTGACTAATGGAGGAGGAGGAGGGAGGCGGGGAAAGCTGTCAAACAGCCAATCCAGTGTCCCGGTGTCCTGTGGGTGGGGAGGTGATGAAGGCGGGTTGGGTGTAGCGGGCCATGTTTTTTCGGGCTGTTGTTTCCACTGGCGACCGACGACACCGTCGTCCGCCTGTGTTCTCTGTACCGATCTCTGTTGGGTTTGTTGTTTTATTTTTTTAATAACAACGACGTGTCCAAACCTTTTGTCTTGTTTTTGTTCTTTCTTGTCTCCCCGCCTCCTCCTCCCCCCCCCTCCTCCCCCTCCCTTCCGCTGCCCCCCCCCCCCCCCCCCCCCGCTCTCCCCCCCCCTACAGGATGTGCGTTTGTCACGTTTTCCACCAGAGCTATGGCACAGAATGCAATCAAAGCCATGCACCAGTCTCAGACTATGGAGGTACTGTACTCTGCCCTTCCTTCCACTCTCATCTTTCACCCCTTTTGAAAAGCAGCGACCGCATTTCACTCCGTCGACGCGTTTCACACCGTTAAATTCACCGCGTAACGGAACTGATCCCACGACCAGAACAAAAGCCGCGAGTGGGTGGAAATGAAAAGAAGCGGCACCTTTCGGCGTCAGTGTGCGAGTTTCGCTCGTCGTCGGCTGCAGGGCCATGACCCCCCCCCCCCCCGACCCCCGTCCCCCCTGGTGATCTTTTTGGGAGGGCGTCTTTGTGCGGGAGGTGACAGGCCCGTGATTTGGGAAGAGAATTACGGGGAGTAACGCCAGAGAGGAAGAACAGCGGTAATAACAGGCCGCGTTGAAGAGACGAGTGGCGCCCCCCCCCCCCCCCTCATTAGAGCTGATCACGGTAATCACAGCCGCCATTGATGTGCCGCAACCCTGACATGGTGGTGGGGGGGGGGGGGGGGGGGCTGCATGCAGAAAGACAGCACAACACGACGCAGTCGAAACACCTTCATTTCGCCAAAAGATGGAAGATGGCGAGAAGTGGGGGGTAAAAGGGGTAAAAGGACTTGACTTGGCATTGTCGCCGCCGTGTCCGCCTCATTACGCCGTGACATTCAGGTGCGCGCTCCCCGAACGCCGGCCCGTTTTTCGCCCACACGACCCGCGAGGGCCCAATCCGCACGTCATCCGCACACGCACGCCGCTGAGGCACACGCCCAGACGGGCGATGTCGTGTCTCAGGTGAGCTCACCCGCGGCCGCCCCTGACAGTACGGATGCATCCGCCCCCCCCCCCCCCCGCGAGGTTCGGTTCGGACGCCGCGGCGTGACCGTGTTTGAGAAACGAGAGAAAAATAACGTCCCCTGTGGGACTTTGTGCTAACGGGGGACGGAGGACGGGAAGCGAACTCGTGACACATCGGACGCTTTGCAGCGTTTAGTTTCAATCAGCAGCATGTTTTCTTTTTCAAAGCAACAAATACCCATAAAATATTAGCTGCCCCCCCGAATGCTGTGGAGCTGCTTTAATAGTCTCAATATTCCGCTCATTTAGAGTTATGCAAGTTTCATAAAGTCCGTCTTAATTCAAGCTTATTTTAAATGGCTTTTTAGGTTTTGGGGGATTTATTTATTATCTCTTCCCCTTTGCTTAATAAAGTCATAATCCTAAAGGTTTCAGTCCGGCTTCATTTGGCGACACTTCAAACTAATTTAAATACTACACAAACTCTCTGGCGAGCCAAACAAACCGCTGCTTTAATCAGCAGCGGAAGAAATACCGACGGCGCGCTGTGAGAATACTAATGAGGACGGCCTCAATACGCACGGGTTAAAATTAAAATGTTAACCGCTGTGGTTTTAAGAAGTTGGGCTTCGATAAGATAACGAGTTCCATCCCGCTAATCGCTGATTGGCTCAACAGTCACACAGCGGTTGATGTACGAAAGTTCAAGACGAATTATTTAAAAAGGCCCGACAGTTAAAAAAAGTCGATGACGTTTGAGCAACACAATGGACGTCCGTGTGTTTGTCTCTGCATGTCTTACTGTCGTCCTCCTCCTGTCTTCTGGTTAAGCACCAGGAGGAAAAATAACTTTTAAAAGGATGAAACGAGCTGCTGGCGGGATGCTGGGTGGGCTCGGAGCTTTTAGGGTCCTGAACCTGAGAAGAACCAGTGGATCCAAACGCATCCATTGCGTAACAGTCACATTTCCGGAGTTGGACTCTTGTATAACCTCCTTCAGCAGTTGGAGGCTCTACGTGCAGAACAGGCTGTGGTCTTTGGATAAATATAGATGTGTAATTATATATATATACAGACAGCGACCAGCATCAAGCACCTGAAAGAGCGTTAAAGTGAAAATAAAGACACATCAGCCGACATCTTCCGACTACGAGACCAAGTCCCTTCTGGACAATTGCAGTGCATTGTGGGAAGTTGGCTCATCCGTGTAGATTTGCCCGCGTGAGAAGAAGACGCTGCTTCCACACTTTGCCCCCCCAACACACCCCCACACCCCTACTGCCTCCAACTAAATGTTTCAATCAAAAGGCTTCTGCCCCCCCCGGGGCAGATTGCCTTTGTTTCTGACGGATTTGCCCCCTAGTTGGGCTTTGATTGCGGGCGTGCGAGTATCGGCGCGGCGTGATGGATCGCGACGTGGTTTTTTTGTTTTTTGTTTTTTTTGTTCTTCTCCGGGTGAGACAGTGCAGTGACGTGCACACGTGCACACGTGCACACTCGCGCACGAGTCACACAGGAACCTTGAGTCTAAAGCCGCCGCCCCCCCGCCGCCCCGCCCCCCCCCACAAGGGGCTCGGTTATCTGTGGGTCCAGAACGCTTCCACCAGAGACAGATTTCCAGAGTTCTACAACTATTTCATCATCTCATGTGAAGAGAGACTCCTGTGTGCGTTTGTGTTACTGTGCTTGCGTGTGTGTGTGTGTGGGTGTGGGGGGGGGGTTGTGTGAGGAGCAGAGTGTTTGTGTAGAAAAGCCAAGATGAATGACCAGAAGGACACGTTGAGGACCAGGTGGAGATTTGGACGAGCAGTAGTGTTTCTAATTGCTGTGTGTGTGTGTGTGTGTGTGTGTGTGTGTGTGTGTGTGTGTGTGTGTGTGTGGTGTGTGTGTGTGTGTGTGTGGTCACTGGTCTTGTGTAGTTGGTTCTTTTTGGAGTCCCTCTGTGTGTGTCCTCCTCCCCGCCATCACGAAGCCCTTGATGTAACCATGGCGATTAGCATCTGTGATCATCCGTATTCTGCTATGATCTGACCTGATTCCTTCATCTTCTCTCGTCTCCTCTGTCCTACATGTCCTCTCTTGCACCCTCCTTCCTTTTCAAATCTCACTCCTTTTACTTTCTCCTTTCCTCCTCTCTTGTTTCCTCCTCTTGTCTCCTTTCCTCTTCCCCTTTTCTTTTTACTATTTTCCTCTCCTGTTTTTCTTCTGCGTCTCCGTTCGTGTCTCTGGTCTCCTCCTTCCTGCTCCTCCCTGCTTCCCACGCCCCCCCCCCCCCCCGTCCTCCATCTTTTCTCCTCTCCCGTCCATATCTCCCCCCTTCTCCTCTTGCCTCCTCGCCTCCTCTTTTACCCGTTTCACTCTCCTCTCCTCTCCCTCTTCCCTCGCCTCTCTCAGGGCTGCTCGTCCCCCATCGTGGTGAAGTTCGCCGACACGCAGAAGGACAAGGAGCAGCGGCGTCTGCAGCAGCAGCTGGCGCAGCAGATGCAGCAGCTCAACAGTGCGACCACCTGGGGGAGCCTGACGGGCCTGGGGGGCCTCACCCCGCAGTACCTGGCTGTAAGGAGAGCCGCCGCGTCGCCCACCACCATCACCACCTCCTCCGCCCCTTACTACAGCCCCGTGGCCAACGCCGCCGCAGTCAGTGCCCCCCGCAGTCTCCACACCCCCTTCCCTCCCCTCCCCCCACAAACACTCCCCCTTCTCCTCCTCCCTTTCATCCTGTCGCTCCTTGGCGAGGGCGCGAGCTCTCTGAGCTGCTGGGAGCCGCAACATTTGTTCTGTATCGCAAAGAGAGAAAGAAGGATTTTCAATGGGAGGAGATTTCTTTGGAATTAGTTTTTTGTGAGATTCTCAATCCAAGGACGCAGATTTGAAAATGTTTTTTACTCCCCAAAAACCGCCAAAGTTGCCGAATGCAGAGCGCGTCTTCAGTCATTTCCCCGCAGTATCTAAAGGTTATTATATTATTACTATGTTGTTATTACAACGCTGGACGAGTCAACGGCAACGCGGGACAGGACGTTAAATCAAAGCGCTTTAAATGACGCAGGCAGGAAGCTCACACCTTTCACAATAAAAGCCCAAGGCATGTAGACTGCACAACTGAGGAGAATCATCTCTCTATATGATCATTTATATCAGACCGACTTTATTTTGCAGTTTCACAAACCTCATTGGTAAGACGATCGTTTGTGGAACAATTATCTAATCTCGAGATATTCCAGACTAATCGCGGTAACTTGAGGTGCGGCGGCGACACTCGAGTCCGCCAGCGGTTGGTTGGTTGGTTCCATCGGGGATTTGTGTGCGTCTCCTCAGCCAGTCGCCTCGCTCTCTTTGCTCCTGATGTCTAAATGAAACATCCCAAATCCTCCTTAAGACCCACAATGCCGACAGCCTTCTGATCCTCGGTGTGTTTGAATCAACACCTCAAACGGGGCTGATTTATTTCTAAAAGTTTTTTTGCAATTTTGGCTCCCAGCTTCCTTTTTTTTTTTGCTCTTTCATTCCTGTTTTTCGCTCCTCTGAGAAGATTAAGCTCCACGTTCTGAACCAACAATAGAAACAAGATGTTAATTTGCTGTTAATTCAACTCTTTGAAGGACGGTTTTAAATGATTTTCCGACGGCATCAGTATTCCCACTTTTGTTTTTTTGGGAATCGAATATGTCGGCTAGATTGGAGCCTTCGTGCTCCAACGTGTCGGGGAGAACGGGGAGAGCAGCGTCTCCTCAGAAGGGAGATCATCACCGCATTAGCCGCTCGTTTGCCCATCGAGTGAAACCCTGAATGACCAGTTTGGCCTCCGCGTTGAGCTCACTGCTCCCGCCCTGTTTCTCCCTCTCTCCTCCTCTAATCTCCTCTCCTCTCTCCTCTTTTCTCCATCAGCTGCTGCAGCAGGCCACCTCCTCCAGTAACTTGGGAGCCTTCAGCGGGATCCAGCAGATGGCCGGTGAGTCCGCACGAATCCCCGGAGAGGCTTCCTCCTCTCTCTTCCTTCTCTTTCACCCGGCGGAGACGGCGCTCTTTGTTGCGCCTCTCTTGTTGTTTTTCTTCTCTTTGTTGGGTCGGACTTCTGAAAGAAGGAACCGGGGGAGCACGGCGGATGAGCTCGCGTGTCGGGAGTTAAGAGAGATCTTCGCCCTGAAGGGTTTATTAACCCGTTGCAGAGAATCGTCTTGATCTTTTAATGAGGCGGAGCGGAGGGAGCCGATTGGGACGAGTCGGGAGAAAGAGAAAAGGGGACGAAGGGAGCCGAGGAAAAGCGGGCTGAAAGCGGGAGGAGGCAGCCGGCGGATCTTTTGCTCTGCCGGCTGGCGCCATCTAGTGCCTCCACCCGGCCCTCCGCCCTCCGTCCTCCCCGCCGCTCTCTCCGGAGCATCTGCTGTCAAATCGGAGGCGTCGGGAAATAAAGCCGGTGGAATCTGAGGACACGGCCCGTTAAAACCACACTAGCGAGGAAATAGGAAATGTAAAGGGAGAAGGGACAGTGAAGGGAAGCTGCAGCAATAAGAAATGCATATTGTATTAACCCAGTTCTGTGGTAACGTGAGCCAAGAAGCCTCCCATTAAATGTTGAACGAGATAATGTGTCTGTCCTTAAGAAATAAGCTTCAAATTTGGATTTCTTTAAGACTTTGCGGGAGCCGTGGATACTCGCTCTCATCATCATCATCATCATCATCATCATCTCTGACTCCTTCTCTCTTTCCATTAAACCCGTTTATTTTAAGCCTCTTTCTGCAGAAGCTCTCGCACCTCCCGCCCTCCCTAATCACAGCTTCTTCATCTCAACTTCACGCCGACCTTCCTCCTCTCTCTCTCTCTCTCTCTCTCTCCCGTTTTATTCTCCTCAGCGAGCTCGTAATTGCACGCCGTTTAGTCGGGCGGCGAAGGAGAGAAACAATGGGGCTCTCTGAGCGCGATGGGAGTTTCTTTTCTGGTATCCTCCAGCATTTCTGAGGAGTTAAAGCTCCTTTGCAACTTCTTCCCTGCGGCATGATTTCATTGTATTATTCTATTTTTATTTTTTTTGTAGGCTCAAAACGCACATTTGCTCACAAACACACACTTTCACGCAGATAAACAGGCTCTGTGATTTCTGGAAGTGAGTAACGGCGTCTGAATCTGGAGATCTGTTGGTCCTCCATCTGCGAGGGGGGAGAGAGAGGGAGGGGGGGAGGAGGGGGGGGGGGGGCTTTAGTGATTGGCAGGAGATGTGACACAGCTGAATGACATCTGGTCCCAGTCTTTAACACGAGGAGCTGCAGAGCTGAGAGGCTTCAATTACACCAATGAGCATTCAATTAGACACAGGCAGCGCCGGCCTGGTGCAGGCCGCACGCACACACACACACACACCACACGCACACGCATGCATTCACACACTCGCGTACCATCTGCACGGCGCAGATTCTCTGAGTGCGGCGCGAGGGGCACATTGTACTCGCCTCTTCTTCGCGGCTTCCGACGCAGATCGTCCTCCTTATGGCCGCGCTCAGCGAGGGAACTTTGACAAAGGGGGGAGCGTGAAGACGGAGACGGACGGGAGATGAGAAAAGACAGACAAGACAAGCGGGTGCGGTGGACACAACAAAGAGTGTAAAGTAAAGGAGACGAGGAAATAGGGGAGGGGAAAGACGAGCGGTAAATGGGAGAGGAGGAGAACGGGTCCTAAACGCCAGGAAGCAACGAGGAGGAAATGGAAAAGGAAATGAGGATAATTAGTGCAGGATGTTTATGAAGGAAGGAAGGAAGGAAAGGAAGAAAACGACAGCAGAGGCATCAAAAGTAGAGAAGGAAAACGGCAAAAGAGGTAAACAAGGGGAAGTGGGAGGCAGGAAGGATGGAAGAGCAATAGGAGAGGAAACAGAAAAGAACAATGCAAAGCGAAGTGAAGAAGAGCAGAAGAAATGGACGATGGGAAGACGACAGAAAGGCGGGAAAAGGTCGGTGAGACAAACTCTTCTTTAAGGGAGAACCGCGGCATTAGTGCGACCTCGGATCAGACGCAGTGTTTATTCACCGCGCTGGGCTGGAAAACGGGAAAAAACACATTTCAGCATTTGGGGGAAAATCTCTGAGGACGAGATTTTGTTTTGGTCTCCGATGCGCTCGTGAGTACAAGAGGGAAAGGTGTCGGCGGGCTCGTTACCACGCGCGCGTTCGCCCGCGCACTTCCTGCTGGAGGGCGGCCATTTTTTCTCTCCTCAATTAACCAATCAGAGGAGTGAATCCAGCGTCTGCTGCGATCCGATTGCTTGTCCGAGTTCACGATATCTCTGTTTCTCGACACGGCGTCACGCGAGACGGATCTTCTTCGTGGTGTCTTGTTTGTGTGTGTCTATCTGTGTGTGTGTGTGTGTGTGTGTGAGAGTGTGTGCGTACTCCCATGGTTCTGTATATACACCCAGGCTGTATATACGACACATACACCTGACATTGACCCTGTTAACCTCTCACGAGCCCATGAGTGCGAGGAAGACGCTTCTCCGGTGGTAAGAACGAGTCCACGCACACACACACACACACGCACACACACACACACGTTGTCACGGAGACGAGGTGATGGTGTAGTTGTACTGAACAGAAGGTGTCGTGTAGCCTCCTTCTTTTCTGGACATTTAGTGCATGTTAGCAGTGTTAGCGCGGTTAAGGCGGAAATCTAGTGCAAATATAAATAGGCTACGTTACCACGGCGACAGTGGTGAAGTCATTTAAGATCAAACAAAGCAGGTTTTAAGCCACACCCCCTCCCCACGACGGCGTCAGCGGCTGAGAGAACGCTTTGTTCTATTAAAGCTGGTAATGTTTGAGGGTAATATTTGCTGTACGGAATGTACTGTCTCCTTGGTATTTCAAGGGCAAAGGTCAGCGCTTAAGAGTAAAATATTGTCAGAAGTGAATGCAGAATTAGAGCGCAGGAAATAAAGAAAGGAAGAGGAATTATCGTATTGCTGTATTTATTTGACAGGGATTGTATTCATTGCCAGAAGGAATGAAGCGTAATTAACCGGTTAGCTGAAAGAAAAAACGCTTGCATCCGCTGACTGAAGAGGCCCTATTTCATGCTTTTGTTTAGTCTCTAGTCGAATCCCAGAAGATATAATAATCACGGTTAAAGAGCCCCTGGATAACTTGACGAGGAGCCTCCTGCACGTAGATTTAACCAAAGATTTCTGCCTCCGACAGCAGCTGATTCACAAACATCTGGGATTTATTAGTGAAAATCATCTTCACACACTGCAGACTATACACACAGACGCACACAGACGCACACAGACACACACAGACACACACAGACGCACACAGACACACACACACCCTCTGTTATTCCTGCTGGCCTTCGGACGTCCAGCACAGCGTCCCCGTGTTCGCTTCTTCTGTCCTTTCTGGTGAAACCGTCCCGGTCCAGCCAGCCTCCCTCAAGGTTTGACCCCCCCCCCCTCCCCTACCTCCCCCCTCTGGCTCCTCTCTCCAGGTATGAGTGCTCTGCAGATTACGAAACCTGCGCACATTAGCAGCGGATGCGGGGGCGGGCCCAAAACTCAGCCAGTCCCTTCTTCCGCAAACCCCTGGTCCACCAGCGCCGCCTTCCCTGGGGGCGCCTGGCCAGGCCCAAGTAACACCGCAGTCTCCTTCGGACGCTGGGGGGGGGGGGGGTCAGGGTGTGGGCCGCACCGCCCCTACCCCCCCCACACACACCCCTCCCTTCAATCGCCTGCCTACGTCCTCCGCTCGCCACCATCACCAGTGTTGTCGCCCACACACCAACACCCCCCCCCATGAAACATCCAACCAAACCATCGCTGCCGATTCATCCGTTCAGACCTCCGTCTGGCCAGTGTGTGTGTGTGTGTGTGTGTGCGCTCCACCCTCCTCCATCACAGGAGAGAAACCATGCTGTCGTGTTGGCGCCGCCCACCACAACACACCACGCCCATCCCGTGATACACGCACTGTGTACGTGTGCGCGTCCGTGTGTGCGTCTGTGCATGTCTGTGCGTTCTGTGCTTAAGTGTTCTTTTTTGCGAGGGGGTCGGGGGTGGAGGAGGGTGGAGGAGGAGGGGGGGGGGGGAGGGCGATTTGTGTGGAAAACCTCGCCGGCTTTGCATTTACAGAGAGATGTGTTGTTTGCACCATGTGTGTGTGTGTGTGTGTGTGTGTGTGTGCGTTTTGTCTAGTAGCAGGTTGTTGTCTGAACTCGACTCAGGTTGAACATCGGCACCTTCAGCCCCCCCCTCACTCCCTCCCCCCTCCCCCTCCACGGTGGCCTCGTCCTCCTTCTGACAAGCTCCCTGTTTCTGCTCCCTCCCTCCGTCCCCCCTGCCTCCCCCCTGCCTCCTCCCCCCCCTCGCCTCTCGCTCTGTGACTGAATGTCAGTCCAACCTCGAGTGATTCTCACTCGGCTCGTGGACGAGTGGTGCTGAGCTGCATGTGTCGATGAACGTGGAGAACGTCCCGGCGGTTTGATGGGGACCTTCTGCATGGAGACGGGTCGGCATTTTGTTTTTGTGTCACAAACGCTGCCGTTGTCACGGCATCATCTTCCTCCCGCTGCTTCGCTGGCGTCGCTTTGATGAGATCAAGGGTACAAACGAGCAGAAGAAGAGGAGGACGGGGGTTTGAGAGCTTCGGTGCACCGAGAGACACTACAGGTTTTCAAAATAAAATAGTAATAAACGTTGGATAATGGGTTACTTTTTATTGCTCCATAAATCAGAAAACAATTTCAACGGTCTAAGAAAAAATTGGTTTTAGTAACATAATGTGGTTTAAATGAATCTCTGAGTGATGTGTGAACAAACCCGACCGTAGAAGAAGTTATAAGAAGATAACGAGGATTGAAACTTTGGTGCAGAAACTTACAAACATCACCGAGAAGTTTCACCACTTTATTCCTTAAAATGAGACAATTGTTTTTATTCAAGTTTTCTGAAATGTTGTGTTGAAATATGCAAATGAGGCCTTATGTAATGGTAACTTTAGATCCAAAGTTGTAAAATAAGGAGATAATTACGTCTACTGAACCTCGTTTGTCCTGTAGTGTCTCTCCTCTTTTCATCTCCATATGCTTTTGTACATGAGGGGTTTTGTGTGTTCCATCAAAGTGCTGCTGCTTTTTACTGGTACATTGATGTTTGAAAGTATCACGTTTAATTCACATTATTTTAAACGAATCACTGCGGAGACCGTTGGTCGCCTCCACGTTTCCCTCCAGCTTCTCCTCGCGCTCTTCCTCTTTGGTGGAAACCGGGAGACACAAACTCTGCTGAGGCTGTGGTTTACTGATGCGACGTCTACTGTTTGTCTAGTACGACAGTTTGTGAGATTTAGAAACTAATTAGAAGATAAAATCCCAAATGAATCTTTTTGCAATATTTGAAGTTGGATGCGAAGAAGAAAGTTTCCCAAAACAAATGAGGGAAAATATTCCCGACTGTAATTAAGAAATCCGTCTTCAATGTAGAGAAAATAAATAATTCTGAGCCGGGGGGGGGGGGGCGAGATGGAATGGCAGGACGGCAAACGAAACGCGCGGCGACGTGTTGCCACGGCGACCGAAGTCTTTAATCTCCATTCAACCCTCATAAAGCGGCGGAGCCGGAGCTCAGCGGCTGCACAGCAACGTTTGCACGAGCAAAACTTTGCGGCTTCTGAACCTGCAACAAACTTTCCAACTACGTCCGCTAACGACGGTGTTCGGTTCATCTTCATCCTCGAGCGCCGACGCCCTCGTGGAGGTGAAACGGAGGCCGCCAGTCTTCTCAGCAGTGGTGCCAGCTGTTTGCAGATGTTTCATTTCATAATGCAGATGTGTGAAGAGCTCCTTTAAGGAACCTTCCTGAACAAGTTTGTTTCTTTTGTCCACCCCCCCCCCTCCCCCCTCCCCCATCCCCGCCTCTACTCCACTGTTCCCTCCACAGCCAGCTCCAACGCCGGCGCCATGAACTCTCTGACCTCTCTGGGCACCCTGCAGGGCCTGGCGGGCGCCACCGTGGGCCTCAACAACATTAATGCACTAGCAGGTAGCGTCAATAGTGAGTATTCATTCTGCCATCAGCCAGCCCACCCCCACCCCCACCCCACCCTCCCCATGCTTTACCTCCGCCCACCGCCACGCAGAGAGACGCTTCACTGCAGCCGCTTTCTGGAGGCCGTTGTGTTTGATTTGTTCGGTTAAAACGGAGAGTTTTATTATTAGTCATTAAAGCTTTAATTTCGGTTTGATATTTAACTTTAAGACCAGTTCAAACTTTCAAAAGATTAAAAGATGCAATATGTGATATCGTTAAACTAAGGCTGTTTATTTAAAGGCACACGCGGTGGTGCAGCTCTGACGTGCAGGAGCTGCACTGAACGCATCAGTGTGCGTTTGTCGAGCGCCATCGAGTCGTGTTCAGTATTTGGTGCTAGAAATAAAAAGATAAAGATTCGTGTTTCCTGTCGTCTCCCTGCGTCCGAGTTTCACTGGTTCATCTGGCAGAAGATTTTCCATCCATCCCATCCCTCCATCCGCTTCCTGGTTGTGCGCGCGTGTGTGTGTGTGTGTGTGTGTGTGTGTTGGGGGCTGAACATTGAATGTCCACCAAAGAAACGCGCAAAGATCTAAATATACTTCGATTCATGATGTCAAAACAAAAGAGCTTCAGCGTCTGAATAAGTGGAGAATAAGTTCCAGTCGGAGCCGACGCACGCTTCCTCGTATCGACCCCCCCCCCCCTCCTCCCTGTCCTGCCTTTGACCCCCCGGGGGGGCGCGAGCCGGGATCTTGATCAGAGATGTTATTACAGCAGAGATCCCGTCTCCCACATTATTCTCCTCTGACCTTTACTGCTGCTGTATCCGCTGTGTGAATCATCCCCGACGCGGGACGCACACACACACGCACACACACACACACACACACACACACACACACACACGTGTTTGCATCCTGGTCAATGCCCCCCCGCCCCTCCATCCATCCAGCCCCCCCCCCCCCCCCCCCCCCCCACCCCACCGCCAACCGCCCTCATTTAAACACATCTATGCCTTAATTGAATTGCAAAGGTCACCGGTGCAATTATTCCTGAATAAATGAGTGACCTATAATCCGGTGATAATTTATTTCGCCGTGTCTGAGGGCGAGGAGACAGGACGCCGCGTCGATGTCCGACCCCCCCCCGGACAAGCCGCCCGCCGACGCGATATTAAGCCGTTACAAGCGACTAATGAGTGTTACTGCTGTGTTCCTACACTTATCAAACCAGACACACACACACCCCCCCCCCATCCCTCCCCCCGTCCCTCCCCCGCCCCTACTGGCCTGTCTTCACCTCTAAAGGGAGACGTCGCAGACTGAACCGGCTCCCCCCCCCCAGGGAGTCCATCCCGCTGTGCCTTCAGCAGCGCTAGCTGTTAGCTCGTTAACGTCGCGTCTGTGTGTGTGTGTGTCTGTGTGCGTGTCGTAAACGTGTGCGTCTTCCGGCTCCCATCAGCTGCTCCCATCCCGTGACGTGTCACCGCGTGTCCCGTGTCTGTGGTGCGTGTCTGTGGTGCGTGTCTGTGGTGCGTGTGTTAACACACGACCTTCACTGGGAGCGCTAACGAGTAAGTGCAACTCTTTTTCTTCTTCATTGGTGGGTTTTGTGTAAAGTTGCTCAAATGCTCTCAGGTATGGCGGCTCTGAACGGAGGCCTGGGGGGCGCGGGGCTCACCAACGGGACGGCGGGCACCATGGACGCGCTGACGCAGGCCTACTCAGGGATCCAGCAGTACGCCGCCGCCGCGCTGCCCACCCTCTACAGCCAGTCCCTGCTGCAGCAGCAGGGGGCCGCCGGCAGCCAGAAAGAGGGTCAGTAGCAGGAGAGAGCTGCTAAACGAGAGGCTCTTAGAATGCACAGAACCCTTTTACCATCTTTTTTTTTGAATAAGTGTTTAAAACACTTCTGTAATCATTTATTATCACAGAATTCCTAACAAAGCCAATTTTCAGCTATAAAATCTTTTTTTTTATCACTTTTTGTTTGGTAATCGTGCTCAACATTTTTGCTGAACTGAACTTACGGACTCCATTTTTAATAATGTGTCTTATTGTGAAGGAATCAGTAATTACTGAGGAATCCTTCTCATAGATCCTTCCTGTTTCTCGCAATATTTCTCAAATGATTTAATGGTCGGTTGAAGCTTTCAACCAGAGCGTTGGATGCAAAGCGGATGTGATAAATGTTCAGTCGGTCTGAGCGTTTTTCCACATCTCGTCTCTGCCGCCTTTTGTATGAAGACGCTTTGCTTCGGGGGGGGGGGGGGGGGGGACAAAGACGTGACGTATCGGCCTTTGTCTAGCAGTGAAGAGCACGCTCGATGACGCTGAGAGATCTGACCTTCTGAGATTAGAATGTGACGAGTGGGTGGCCGACCTTTGACCCCTCTCAAGAGAGCCCACGCGAAGTCGAGAGGAAGAAAAGCGTAGCGTGGAGGCTTTGTCATCAGCCGGAGAGGGAAGCGCATTCCCGTTGGTTTTGATGTTCAACACCATCGGAGGACTTGCTTTAAAAGCGCTCATCGGAGGCCGAGGTCACGCGGCCCGTGCGCTCCCGCTCCGTTCCCATGGCGACGGCGCGCGCGGCGGCCCTTTTGATCATTCCTTCCTTCGTTGCACTTCTTGCATGACCCTCTCGTCTCCCCCGCCAGGTCCCGAGGGCGCCAACCTGTTCATCTACCACCTGCCCCAGGAGTTCGGGGACCAGGACATCCTGCAGATGTTCATGCCTTTCGGAAACGTGGTCTCTGCCAAAGTCTTCATCGACAAACAGACGAACCTGAGCAAGTGCTTCGGTACGGCAGCAGCCGACTCCGCCGCTTTTGGCCTTTTTTTTTGCGTCTTTGTCCGCAAACGTTTATCTCTGTTTCCTCTGAGAATCATATTCGGTATTGGTGGTACATATTTTGCTGTGTTTTTGTTGGTACTTGTCTCTAGAGTGTTGCTGTGCTCACGATGCTCCAGATGGAAGTGCCACTCCACTCCTCTGTTTGCTTTACTGTTATGTGTCTATTCCGCTTTACTCGGCTTCCTTCTTTCATTATTTTGTTGATTCAACAAGCCCTTTGGGAGTCGTTACATTTTAATATTTCCCCCCCGGTGTACCTGGGGTGTGTTTTCAATGTAGACGTAAACCAGACCAATCAGATATCCAAAGAAACAGAAACGCGGCGGAGAGCCTCCTAATTTAAGCAGTTTATTATTACACATTGATTTTGAAATGGTGCAGTTCCTGTAAATAAACGAGAGCAATAAAGGAGAAGCTTGCCGAGAAGAAAGAGATAAAACAGATTACAGCACTTAACATTCTAAAGTTAGACAGGAAACATTGAAGATTATTGTAAAGTCAATAAAAGTGGCGATAAGGAGGCGAGCAATCATCTCAATCGTGGCCTCATTATGTTTTATTACAACATTGTAGCTCACTGCGCTGTTTCCAGGTAACATGTGTTCTTATTCACCTTATCATCAGCTATGTTAGCCAACATGCTAGCAACTTGCATAATAATCTCAAAGTCTTTTGGACAACAGCTAAGTGAAAACGTAGCCAGAATTAAATGTACGTTGTGTAAAGTCGTAGCAGTTCAGTAAAGAGCATAAGGCTCCTTTTCATCAAGTTAAATCATTTTAATATTGATGCGCAGGAGACGATTGCTTGGTAGCATTTGGCTTAAGTAACTCCTTTAGTCTGAGGGATATCTCTGAATTTAATTCACAGAACTCTACAGAAATGTCCACAAATGTAACTAGTTGATATTTTGGAAATCAATGAAGAGAAGTGACCATATTTGTAATGAGGAGGAGTGACGTAGAGACACTAAATGGACCATAAGTCGCTAAATGAACATCATGCTGTGTTGAAGAAGACTTGAAACTAGAGACTGAGACCATAAACTCATGTTTACAATGTTTACTGAGGGAATAAATCCAGAGAGAAGTAGAGTCATTTCCTCATAGACGTCTATGGGAGCAGAGGAGTCGCCCCCTGCTGGTCACTACAGAGAAGTAGAGTCATTTCCTCATAGACGTCTATGGGAGCAGAGGAGTCGCCCCCTGCTGGTCACTACAGAGAAGTAGAGTCATTTCCTCATAGACGTCTATGGGAGCAGAGGAGTCGCCCCCTGCTGGTCACTACAGAGAAGTAGAGTCATTTCCTCATAGACGTCTATGGGAGCAGAGGAGTCGCCCCCTGCTGGTCACTACAGAGAAGTAGAGTCATTTCCTCATAGACGTCTATGGGAGCAGAGGAGTCGCCCCCTGCTGGTCACTACAGAGAAGTAGAGTCATTTCCTCATAGACGTCTATGGGAGCAGAGGAGTCGCCCCCTGCTGGTCACGACACAGAATGCAGCTTTGGGGGATCGTTTGAGTCAGATTGAACGACACTCAACAAATACACCAATCTTCATTACTTTAAGCTAGCTGCAAGTTTAATGCAAAGTGGGAAAATGACCGTTATGCCACATCATCACATCCTTGTTCTCCACCCCTCCACCCTCCTCCCCCACCCCGCAGGCTTCGTCAGCTACGACAATCCGGTGTCGGCGCAGGCAGCCATCCAGGCCATGAACGGCTTCCAGATCGGCATGAAGCGGCTGAAGGTGCAGCTGAAGCGCTCCAAGAACGACAGCAAACCGTACTGAGCTTAGCACTAGGGTCTGTCTGCCCCCCCCGTTAGCACTGCTAGGGTAAGTCCCCCCACCGCCAGGTGAAAACGAAAAAAACAAACCGAGCCAAGACCTCGTTACGCAGTGACTGGGGAGGGGGGAGGGGGGGGGAGACGACCTACAACCGCCCTGAGGGAGACGCACACGCCTTGTTCTTTTCTTTCTTTTTCTTGCTTTTTTGAAGATTTTTACGTTAGCTTATTATTATTTATTACAGTTATGATTTTTTTCTTTTTTACACACATGAACGCTTCCATTACCGCCATTTCTTTGTGCAATTTTCTTTTTTTCTTTCTTTTTTTAAACAATGGAAGGAAGGAGCTATCTTGGGTAGCTTTTTAAAAACGTTTGTTTAGAAGTTGTTGTTGTTTTTTTTTATTTCTCAGAGATTATTCTCACATTTCTGAGGACTAGTTACAGCCACGAGGTAAAGACCAAGGAGCCATGATGATTTTAAACGTTTTTTTTTCTTCTCTCTCTCGTTGTGAACCCTGAGACCTGGCGAAGGGTTTAATATAATTTTTTTGACGCGCATGCCGATATGCACATCCGACCTTTGACCTCCGCGGTGTTGGTTGCAGGCCGCCGCTGCTTCAACGAAAAAAAAAACCCTTCTATGCCTGCTGGCAACCCGGGAGCAAAGGCTGCAGAAACGATAGTGGCCTCTTTACATTCTAGTCCGTTACACTCCACCACCACCAGAAGAAGAAACACAACACACACTCCAGCTACGTCTTATTATTTATGTGAAGATAAAAAACAGTGTTTTTATTTCTCAGATGGTGAAAAAAATAAGATTAGTAACTATATTTCCGGGTCAGATCACATTGGTCTTTGTTGTGAAAAGGATATTTACCGCATGTAGAACATTGTCAAAAATAACATCCAGAATTTGATGAAGGCTATAAAGATAATTCTAATAATAAAAGAGTTTATGGGTTCGAGGTGGTAACTGAAAATACTTGATGTTTGTTGAAAGATTTAAAAAAGTGAATAAGTCAAAGTACAGAAAGCCACAGGCCTGTAAATTTTATTTGTAAAAGAAACTGTTCTATTTTTATACAACATTTTTACTGCCTCAGATGAAAAAAAAGGTTTTATTTATTGCCTATCGTTAAGTTATTGGACTCCTATAAAATATTCAGCGTCGTTAAAGTAGACCCTCGTGGAGAAGTCTCGTGGATTCGGGTTCTCCGGTGTTTTCCATCTTTTCTTCAGTGCAGAAAAACCACAATCACAACACGCCGGCATTCAACCCCCCCCCCCCCCCCCCCCCCCTCCCTGGATCATTCATTCATCCATTCTGTGCTGTTCATCCATCCATTCCCCCACCTCTCCTCCACCCGCTCCTCCCTCCCTCCTCGCTCGCTCCATCCGTAGTGAGACTTCTTCACTCGTCAATTCTTCCTTTCCAATTTGATTTGTTTATTTTTCTGAGTGTTGAGCGTTTTTTGTTGTTCGTACCCCCCCCCTGCCCCCCCCCCCCCCCCCCGCCCCCCCTCCAAAGATATTGAATTTTTTTTAAAAGAGATAGAGAAAGAAAGATAAGACCCACCTCCCCGTCTCCCAAAGAATATGACTATTTTCTCCCAAATGACAGCATCCATCTTGGACCTGATGGATAAAGCTTTGGGTGCTCTTTGTTGTGTGTGTGTGTGTGTGTGTGTGTGTGTGTGTGTGTGTGTGTGTGTGTGTGTGTGTGTGTGTGAGAATGTGTGTGCGTTTGTTGTTTTTGTCGTTGCCTGTTAGTATAGACCTATAACATGATATCATTTAAAAAAATAAAAATAATCTAAGCCTAAAAAATGTTCCGATGAAACCAGTGAGTGGCGTTGCTGTTCTGCCGGTTTGCATTGTTGTTGTTTGTTTGTTGTTGTTGTTGTTTGTTGTTGTTTCTCCTGATTTTTTACAGAAACAAAATGCTGTGGTGGTGTGGTGCTCTGGCTCTCTGTGTGTAACTCTCTCCTCTCCCCTGTTTTTTCTTTCCCCCTTTTAGAACAACCCATCTCCATGCCTGTTAGCTCATCGTTTGCCTAGCATGTCTCCGTGGCGTCCAAAAAAAACAAAAACTCCTAAACGAAAACAAACAAAATGCCCCCCACCAAAACAAAAAAGCGTCAGCGTCCTCCCCCCGTCGTTGTTTTTTCTGATGTCTTTCCCGAGCTCACCTGATCATAACCGGGTTCTTCTTCGCCGCCTACTGACCTTTTGAACTTTGAACTTTTTTGGATTTTTTTTTTTTTGATGTTGGGTTTTTTCGTCGTTGTATTTTTTCCTTGCATGTGACCTCATTTAGACTTGTTTTCCGGGAGGGTTTCAGGGAGGGGAGGGAGGCGACATCAGGGGAGGGGCGGGTGAGAAGAAAATGAATCAATGTGAAAAAGATCTAAAGCTGCATTCGTATGAAAAACTAAAAAAAGACTGAGATTTTTATGGAAAAACTAATGTTCTTTTTGGAGAAAAAAATTATTTCCATACTGTATGTTTTCCTGCAGTTTTCTTTTTTTTTGGTTTCTTCTCCTTCTTCTTTATGTCTCCTTTTTTTCTTTTCTTCTTCATTTAAAGTAAACTTGAAAGTTCACTACGGGAATTGGCGCGCCATCTTGCTTCTGGCGCCGACGACTATAAAAAAGAAAACCTGCGCGTTCCGGCCCAGAAGCAGTCCACGCCAGTTCCTCTGAAAAATAAGACTACTTCCAAACAGTTTTGAATAAAAACTGTCTGATCAATATTAGACTCTCTCCGAGCTCTCCAATGGTTTTTACATTTTTCAGGCAGTGTAAAGTTTTTTGATAAGGCCATTTTAAGTGGCTCTGTTTCTCATTCAAAGTCTATATATAGAACCACTTTTTCTAGAGTAGTTTAAAGGTAAAAAATAAAAAAAGACATTTGCCCTGTTTGGGTGGGAGAAATGCTACCTACTTGTGTCACCTTTTGCTGAACTGACTCACAGATAGACAATCCGTGGTTTAAATGCACATGATGAAATGACCTATATTTTCTACTGTTTAAATGTATAGAGGAAAAAAAAATACTAAGATACCTGTAACCTGCGTTAACGTCGGTGCTTCTCGTGAGTTTAGTTGTGGTTTCATCACAAGTCTAACGGTCTTAAATGTCTCATGTTTTTCAAGACTAAAAAATCAGTTTACTTGAACAATAGACAAAGCCTTTCATATTACTATAACAGTTACTTTGTTGTGTCTTTACTTTTTGTTTCTTGTTTTTTAAGGAGTCCCTATTTGCTAAATTTCTTGTTGGTTTATTAGCTATATAAAATTCCTAAAAATATATATAAATATAAATATAAATATATATATATATATATAATGTCAGCTTGTGAAGCATCAATGTCATTATTATTTTATTTCTCTCGTGGGAAACAAATATTTAGATGTGTTTTGTTGTTCGGCAAAATGTCTTATAAAGAAAAAAGACAACATCAGTGGAGTTCAGTGCCAAATTCTGAAGGTACTTCCTGCCTAGCGCGTCAGTGTACTTCTTGTGAAATGATTTGATAACATGGGTATTTTATTATAAGTGTTTTGTATGGATCCCTCATATTTAAAAATATAGATTTAAAAAAGAGTTTGTTAACTTGCTATTCTGTGGTCTTGTTGCCTGAAAATTGTCATGTTTGCTTTTTTTTTTTCTTTGTAAAGATGTAAAAAAAAAAAAGAAGAAAAACAAGGAAAAAAAGTGCCCATGTGTCATATATGTATATATCTATATCTATACACGCGCGCACGCGCGCGCACACACGTTCTCGTGCAGAACTCACAGTTTTACTTTCTTGTGCATGAGAGCCCCCCCGAGTGTGAACGCCTCCACAGCGCCCGCACACACACACACACACACACACACACACACTTACAACACGCGCGCACACAGAAACGGGACTCGCGCACGGAAACTTTTCAGCCATTTGTGCGCCGCTTCTCCTCGTGAAGCCTCACCGCCGACCTTTGCACTCCCGCGCTTTCTCTCTCGGCTCCACGTGTGTCCAAAACCTGAGGATCAGTAATTTTGTGTCCTCCACCCAGAGGAGCGCGTGGCTTTTGATGACGTAAGCACAGGTCAGGGCTCACAGACGGCCCCGCCTCCTGAGGAGGAGGAGGAGGAGGAGGAAGAAAAGCACACTCTATTTACTCCTTTTTATTATTTCACAACACGCTCTTTTTTCTGTTTTTAACGGGCAAAACAATCACGTAGAGATGCCAAAGTGTGTCATTGACATTCTCGTAGTCGAGCCGTTTACAAGGCAAAGTGTTGTTGAGTTTGTTCAACTGCCCCCCCCCCCCCCCCCCTCAAAAGCCCAGTTTACGGTCTGTGGGAAAAAAAGCAGCATTATTTTCTACAGAAGCTCACCAGTGGCCTTAACCAGGGAGCGTTGTACCAGTATTACAAAGAGTCCAAGATGTCGTCAGTCGCTTAGTGACGTGTCAGCCGAGCTTCACGTCCGTGGTCAGTTTCCCACAGTCGGGCTTCGATTTGTATTCATTCTCCTGTTCCGATTTGCACAAAGCGGAGAAGGGTGTTTTATTGTGACGGTTTGGTCGTGGTCTTTGGAAACGGGGAGAGGCGTCTTATTGTGAAGGTTTGGTCGTGGTCATTAGAAACGGGGAGAGGCGTCTTATTGTGAAGGTCTGGTCGTGGTCTTTGGAATTGGGGAGAGGCGTCTTATTGTGAAAGTTTGGTCGTGGTCATTAGAAACGGGGAGAGGCGTCTTATTGTGAAAGTTTGGTCGTGGTCATTAGAAACGGGGAGAGGCGTCTTATTGTGACGGTTTGGTCGTGGTCATTAGAAACGGGGAGAGGCGTTTTATTGTGAAGGTCTGGTCGTGGTCTTTGGATTTGGGGAGAGGCGTCTTATTGTGAAGGTCTGGTCGTGGTCTTTGGAAACGGGGAGAGGCGTCTTATTGTGACGGTCTGGTCGTGGGTCATTAGAAACGGGGAGAGGCGTCTTATTGCAATGGCGCTGGGGGAAATAAGATAGAAAGCGCGTGTTGATTTGGAGAGGAACGGGGGGGGGGGGGCCCGTCTGCCGGGCCACCCCATTGGGGAAAAAAACAGCTTTTACTGGGTTCACCTTGAAAAAAAAATAAACGATCCGGCTCCCTGTGTTCTCCCGGGGGGGGGAGACTTTTTGTTGGGCTAAATGCCGGAACTTTTCCCAACATGGGCCGGGCCCCACACCCCAAAAAAGCCACAACTACCTGGGCGAAACTTCCCACCTCGACTCCCCATCTGTGTAGCGCGCAGGAGGTTCGTAGGCTGCCCCCCCCCCCCCCCCCAAAAGAACTACATTCCCAAAGTGACACCGGGCCTGACGTGAACAGCCTTGCTTTGTTTTCGGAAGCACAAAAGAGGGGCGTGGGGGGGGGGGGGGTTGAGGTCTGTGGGGGGGTCAAAGCCTCAATCGTCGTAATCTCTTTTAACTTGTCACGTGTTCACTTCTCTGTTCTCTTTTCTTTCTTAATTATCTTAAGCACTATTTATCAAACGATGAAATCTGAAAGGAAAAAAAAACGTGTTGTTTCTTTGCATTTTGGCTTCTGTCGAGTTTTTTGGGGAAAAAATGTTGTGTGTGTTTTTTCCGTGCCGTAAAAAAAAGAAAATACGCAAAATAGCTTGTTGTCTGTAGAAATGATCCAAATTGTTTGTTTTCTGTTTCTTTTAATTCTCCAAACAGAAAGCGGGTTCTTGTCGATGCATTTCAGTGGATCCTGTGAGCGTGATGTGTGTTTGTTTGTCACCAGGTGGGATTTCAAAAGTACAACAAATGCAGGCTTTCCTATTTCTACGACTGATTGTACTTATGCATTTTGTACCAGTGCAACTTTTTATACTGGAGATTAAAGGATACAACAACAACAAAAAAGAATCTTAGCAAATAGCTGTCTGGCCTTGTGGTGTGGCCCCCCCTCCTAGAAGATTTCTAGAAGATCTTTATTTCATTCACTTCTTTTTTCCCCTGTGAGCGTCGTTCTTTGTTTCTTCCTTCCTTTCTTTCTCCCCCCCCCCCCCCCACAATAACACAGAGGGTAGGTGAGTGTCAGATCTTTTCAATTTTGCTTTTAAAATAGTTCTAGCGAGTTTGTCTTTACATAAGCGGTAAGTTTCATTTGACTTCTGTATTGTGCCGTCTACACGATAAGACAATTATAGCAAAAGAAGGAATAGAAATATTTAGTCACCTTCAGTGGATTAATGTGTTAGTTTAATAAAGAGATCAACTAATTAGAAACTTTTTGCTTTTAGCTGTTTAGATTTTTCCGGTTTCTCTGTCCTTCTCTGTGAACTAACTGTGTAGCTGAAGCAGTCAGAATTATTTTTGTAAATGTATGTTCTTGTGTGATGCAGTTTTTTGCTTCTGTCTCCTATATTAAACCATTTTTCCTAATACTTGTCTCTCTCTGTGTTGTTATGTTCCAGTGGCTGTCTGACGTTGTTCTGTTTCTCCACCTCTCCATTCTCCCCCCCGGAGTCTCTCTCTCATTTCTATCTTCCCCTCCTCGTTTTCACGTTTGTTTTTGTTTATTTTTTACAACATAGTAAAGTTGACCCCCCCCCCCCCCTCCCGAGTGACAACTCACTATGCTGTTCTCCCTCATAGTAAATATACATCAAGTGTTTGTATGTATATTACTGTGGAGCCCAAGTCGCCGCGGACAGTCGGGCCAAAGTTTGACCCAGAATGAGACTACCATTAGCTTAGACATTAGCTTAGCTCTTAGCACGAAGGACCAGTTATCAACTTATATATACGATATCTTCATGAACCTCATTTGTTTCATTGCCCGAAACTAAATAAGTGGATTCCTGTGAAGACGTTTATTTTTAAAATACTATTCAGTTTGAAAACGCACTATAAGTGGGGAGGTACACGTATTGTATACGTATCCATAGGAAATAGCTTTCGTTAGCTTTACTTCTCACGTGTGTGCAGAGGCTTGCTGGGTGTCGATGAATCCACGGCGCTCTCCGTGGTGCTGAAGTCGCACACAGACGTGTAATTGCTTTTTTCTCTCCCGTCCTGTCTTGGACGTATGAAATGACCTGGAAGGTGGATGATGTGGTTGGTCACATCTATCTGTGTACCTGCTAACCTCCGGAGGAGCAGTTGTTACCTTAGCAGAGGAGGTTATTTAAAAACGATCTAACGTAGGTGACAAAGTAGGTTGTTGTTTATGGGTTAAAATCGTAGCAGTAACCATTGGACGACATTTGTTTTGCCTTCAAATATGGACAATTGTGAATGGCAGCGTGACCCAGGTTCCATTTAGATACTTGTAGTCTCTATGCTAAGCTATGCTAACCGTTGCATAACATTTATCAAAAACAAGCCCTTCGACATTCCAAAATGTCAAATTTATCCTTAAATCTACAGCATCACTCAGAAGTTTGGACACACATTCTCATTGAATTAAATGAGAAAATGTGTCCATTCTTTTGACTGGTTTTGTATTTTCATCTTGTATCCCCCCCCCCCGGTCTGTCCGCTGTCCTGGGCGACGCCTCTCCACTGTTTGTCCACTTTGTGTCCGAACCACTCCCGTCCTGTGTCCCCGTCACAACTGCATCCTCCCTGTAGAGAGAGAGGAAAGAGAGGTCAAAGGTCAGGGAGATAGAGGAGGGTGTCGGTTCTCTTGCTCAGTGTGGGTCCAATAACCCCCCCCCCCCCTCATCCCGCCCTCTCCCTGCAATATTTTATCTTCACGACATCACACCACAAATACCCTCGTTCCTCTACATTATGAGCGCTGGGGCACCTTGACGATCTCTTCCTTCCACCGGTCGTTATTAAATATTGATCGTGAGGGTCTCTGCCTGTTATTGCCCACGTGCTGGGTTTGTGGGACGGGGGGGCTGTACGCGCGGATGGCTTTATCGCCTCTTGAGACAACCGCCTTCATCAGCCTGCGGAGATTCTAGGTAAATTCCCCGCCGGATGCCGTCCAAGGTCTAAGAAACGTCCCCGCTTCCGCCTTGAAGGCCGGGAGGATAACACCTGAATGAGTCCCCCCATCGGTCTGGTTATACTTGAGTAATGAGCAGCTGGGCTACCGGATCAATAGGCCGCACACAGAGGAGGCACGCTCAATGACACATCACAGGAATGCTGATGTTTCTTCAGGTCACGCGTGTAAAACAAAGCAGGTGAACGCATGTTGCACTTGATTCGTTCCCTTCTAAATGTTTCCTTTTTTAAAGAAACCAGAAGGTTTTAAATCGCTTCACAAGAGGGAGAAACAAGACGAACCGCAGGGGCGCACACACACACACACACACACAGGTCTTCAATCCGTTGGTGACTTGGAGGCTGAAGGCAGATCCCCTTGATGGAATCGCCTCAGCGAGGGGTCAAAGGTCAGGGGAGGTTTCTGCTGCATATGTGTGTTTTATTTAAAATATTTCCTGGTCACAACATCGTCAGGACTGCAACCACAACCGAGGAGCCGGGCGGTTCATTCAGGGCCGAGGAAGAAATGACTAAAGTATGCTCTTATTTTGGAGGAATATAGGATATAGACATGGTTTTTAGACAACAAAGGAAGGTGAGTGAGACAAAAACTGTGGTACCGGGTTTGGCTCCATTGGAGAAGACTTGTAGCATGTTGTTGTGTCACTTGAAGGCAGCATTTTACACAAACACACACTCTAAATATTACAAAAATGTGATAAATAAGAATTCATTCA